TTTCTAAAGCTAAAAATAACAAACGCATCATCTAATTTTCCTTAATAGGCATATATTATTCTTAAAGGCATTATTATTCCTATTATTCCTTAAGGGCATACATTATTCAGAAAAAAAGCAACAGAAGACCTAACAAGGGAAATAATTACTGTTTTAGTTACCTGAAATCAAAAACCTTGGCTGGGCACCGTGGCTCATGCCTGGAATCCCAGCACTTTGGGAGGCCGAGGCGGGCAGATCACGAGGTCAGAGATCGCGACAATCCTGGCCAACATGGTGAAACCCCGTCTCTAATAAAAATACAAAAATTAGCTGGGCATTGTGGTGCGTGCCTGTAGTCCCAGCTACTTGGGAGGCTGGGGCAGGAGAATTGCTTGAACCCAGGAGGCAGAAGTCGCAGTGAGCTGAGATCATGCCACTGCACTCCAGCCTGATGACAAAATCAGACATCAATCTCAAAAAAAAAAAAAAAAGAGAAAACTGCCGGCCATAGTGGCTCATGCCTGGAACCCAGCACTCTGGAGGCTGAAGGCAGGTGAATCACTTTGAGGCCAGGAGTTCAAAGGCCAGCCGGTCCCAAAGTGGTGGAAACCCCGTCCCCTACTGAAAAATACAAAAATCACCTGCATGGTGGGGCAGGCGCCTGTAATCCCTAGGCACCAGGCACCTGAGGCAGCGGAAATCGCTTGAAACCCGGTAGAGGTTCCAGGTTGAAGGCCCAAGATAGCCCGTACACTCAAGCCTGGGCAACAGCAGTCCGAGACGCTCTCAAAAGAAAAAAAAAAGGAACTAAACCGCAACTGATCTTACGCCAAAAGCCCAAGAGTGATTACAGACCCTCTAATAAAATGTGACAAAAACACAAAGAACCCCTCAAAAGAAATAAAGGAAAATGGCTAATAAATATGAAAATGTGAAAACTCAAAAGAATCAAGAAACCCAAAGTATAGCCCAGGCATGGGCTGGCTAACTTGCACCCCAAAGACAAGTAACCCCAGCCAACTTGGGGCAGGCCCCCGGGGGAGATCCGCTTGCCCAGAGTTCCAGACCACCCTGGCAACCTAGGGAGACCGTCATCCTTACAAACAAATCAACAAAAAACTCCAAGGCCAGCGCTTGGGTGTGCCGCTCTTCTTCCACGCTCAGGGAAGGCCGGTAAAGATCCTCTTGCGCCTGGCGTAAGTAGCAGGCTGCAGCGAAGCCCCGTGGAATATCGTCCACGCCCCAGCCGCCGAGACCAGAGACTCCTGTCTCCAAAAAAAAAAAAAAAAAAGCTGGTGCGTGATTCCATGCCCTATAATCCCAGCCCACTGCTTGAGGCCAAGAGGTAGGAGGATCACCTGAGTATGGGAAGTTTGAGACCAGCCTGACGAACATGGAAACCTTCTCTTAACTAAAATACAAAAATTAGCGGGCGGCCGGCGCAGCCCGCATAGACTTGTAATCCCAGCCTACTCCAGAAAGGCCTGAGGAGGAGAAATCGCTTGAACCGGAGTGAAGGTTGCCGTGAGCTGAGAGTGCGCGCACTGCACCCCAGTCTCAAAGAGCAAAACCTCCCAGCAACGAAGTGAACTCCATCTCAAAACAAAAAAAGAAACGTATTAGAAACAATGCGAGATTTTGATTTTTCACGTAACCAAAACGCAATATTAAAAACAAGAATAAAATCCTGAAGTTCTAAGAATATGGGAAGGTGAGTATTCATACATTGTTTGTGGGGGCATCAAATTTGTATAATTTTCTGGAAAGCAATTACCAATATGCATCAAGGCCTTAAAAATGTTCATATCTGTTTACTTAGTAATTCTGTTCTAGGAATCAGCCCAAAAGATAGAATCTGAAATGTACTCCAGGGTCACTGGTAATGATGCAACTCTACAAACAACCTAGAAGTCCTGCAACAAAAGTTAGGTTCTGTGGACCTCGGTGTTCCTTTTAAATGGTGTTTAAATTAGAAATCAATGCAGTGCGTGATCCTGAATTGGATCCTGGACTAGAAAAAAAGACACTGGGGAACAACTGTCAATATCAATAAAGACTATAGGTAGGTTATTAGAATTGCATCAACGCTGGGCTCGGTGGCTCATGCCTGTACTCCCAGTACTTTGGGAGGCTGAGGCAGGTGGATTATCTGAGGTCAGGAGTTTGAGACAAGCCTGACCGATATGGTGAAACCACGTCTCTACTAAAAATACAAAAATTAACCAGGCGTGGTGGTGTGCACCTGTAGTCCCAGCTACTTGGGAGGCTGAGACAGGAGAGTTGCTTGAACCTGGGAGATGGAGGTTGCAGTGAGCCAAGATCACGCCACTGCACTCCAGCCTGCAGCCTGGGCGACAGAGTCAAACTCTGTCTCAAAAAAAAAAAAAAAAAAAAAATTGTATGAAGGTTAATTTCCTGGTAGTTAAGTAATATGTGAACATTTGTATCAAGGTTAATTTCCTGGTAGCTGATATTTGGGGAAGCTGGGGGAGCAGGTATGAGATCTCTTTATACATTTTCACAAATACTTTGTAAATCTGAAATTACCTAAAAAAAAATACACACACATGAAGAGAATAATGCTTATACATTGATAGGGGTTTTTTTTGTTGTTGTTGTTTTTGTTTGTTTTTTTAAGGTGGAGTCTCACTCTGTCACCCAGGCTGGAGTGCAGTGGTAAGATCTAGGCTCACTACAACTTCTCCCTCCCGGGTTCAAGCAATTCTTGTGCCTCAGCCTCCCAAGTAGCTGGGACTACAGGTGCACACCCCCATACCCGGCTAATTTTTGTAATTTTAGTAGGGATGAGATTTCACCATGTTGGCAAGGCTGGTCTCGAACTTCTGAGCTCAGGTGATCCACCCACCTTGGCCTCCCAGAGTGCTGGGATTATAGGCGTGAACCATCTCTCCCGGCCCAGGTTTTTTTTTTTTTTTTCCAAACAACATGGGTGTGGCAGATCCTGTTGGTCAATACCCATTCTCCACCTTTTTTCCTTGTTAACCCTTATTTTGCCCACTCTCCTCTGAACAGCCATAGCTTTCAAGTGAGTTCCTCTCCAGCCCTGATGGGTGGATCTTGCTTGGTCCATGCCACACATTGCCAGCCAAGCTATTAGTTAGACCCAGGAATATAATGTAATTCTTGCTATCAGACAGTAATAGCAAATATTTATATAGTACAAATCACAGGCAAGGCACTGTTCTAAGCGCTTTACATAGATTAACCCTCAGCTCTCACAACAAATGCAATTATATTTGCCATTACATGTGGGGAAAAGAAAGAGAGATCAGATTGTTACTGTGTCTATGTAGAAAAGGAAGACATAAGAAACTCCATTTTGATCTGTACTATGAAAAATTGTTTCTGCTTTGAGATTCTGTTAACCTGTAACTTTAGCTCCAACCCTGTGCTCACAGAAACATGTGCTGTAATGAATCAAAGTTTAATGGACTTAGAGCTGTGCAGGATGTGCCTGGTTAACAACATGTTTGCAGGCAGTATGCTTGGTAAAAGTCATCGCCATTCTCCATTCTCGATTAAGCAGGGACACAATGCACTGCGGAAAGCCGCAGGGACCTCTGCCCAAGAAAGCCTGGGTACTGTCCAAGCAAGGTTCCCCTCCTCGCTCCCCCTCCAGCCCCCTCCAGACAGCCTGAGATATGGCCTCATGGGAAAGGAAAGACCTTACCATCCCCCAATCTCCCAGCCCAACACGACACCCGTAAAGGGTCTGTGCTGAGGAGGAGGAGTGAAAGAGGGAGGCCTCTTCGCAGTTGAGATAAGAGGGTTTCTGTCTCCTCCTCTTCCTTGGGAATGGAATGTCTTGGTGTAAAACTGACCATTCCCATTCGTTCTATTCTGAGATAGGAGAAAACCGCCCTGTGGCTAGAGGTGAGATATGCTGGCAGCAATACTGCTCTGTTGCTCTTTGCTACACTGAGAAGTTTGGGTAAAGAGAAACATAAATCTAACCTACATGCACATCCTGGCACAGTACCTTTCCTTGAACTTACTCATGATACAGATTCCTTTGCTCACATGTTTCCCTGCTGACCTTCTCCCCACCTGTTGCCTGCTACACTCCCCTCGCTAAGATAGTAAAAATAATAATCAATAAATACTGAGGGAACTCAGAGGCCGGCGCTGGTGCGGGTCCTCTGTATGCTAAGCACCGGTCCCCTGGACCCACTGTACTTTCTCCATACTTTGTCTCTGTGTCTTATTCCTTTTCTCAGTCTCTCATCCCACCTGACGAGAAATACCCACAGGTGTGGAGGGGCTGGGCCCCTTCAGTTACACAGATAGGAACCCTGAGGTCCTGAGATCAGATCAATGGCTCCAGGTCACACAGCTGATTAGATGGGGAGGCAAATAGTCTGGAGGCCTTCTAGGAAGGTTCTCCTTGTTCTTAAAAAGGGATGTACAATCATGTGTTACTTAAGGACAGGGATACATTCTGAGAAATGTGTCAGGTGATTTTGTAGTTGTGCAAACATCATAGTGTGTACTTACACAAACCTAGGTTGATTGGTCTAGCCTGTTGCTCCTAGACCACAAACCTGCACAGCATGTTACTGTACTGAATGCTGTAGGCAATTATAACACAATAGCAAATATTGTGCATCTAAATCTAGAAAAGGTGCTGTAACATGGGGCACATGGTGGCTCATGCCTGTAATCCCAGCACTTTGGGAGGCCGAGGCGGGCAGATCACCTGAGGTCAGGAACTGGAGACCAGCCTGACCAACATGGAGAAACCCCGTCTCTACCAAAAATACAAAAATTAGCCAGGTGTGGTGGCACGCACCTGTAACCCCAGGTACTCAGGAGGCTGAGGCAGGAAAATCGCTTGAACGCGGGAGGCGGAGGTTGCACTGAGCCGAGATTGCGCCACTGTACTCCAGCCCGGGCGACATGGGGAGACTCCCCTTCAAAAAAAAAAAAAGCAATAATCTCATGGGACCATTGTTGTACATGTGGTCCGCCACTGATTAAAACATTGTTATGTAGGCCGGGTGTGGTGGCTCACGCCTGTAACCCCAGCACTGTGGGAGGTCGAGGCAGGTGGACCACAAGCTCAGGAGTTTGAGACCAGCCTGGCCAATATGGTGAAACCCTGTCTCTACTAAACATACAAAAAAATTAGCCAGGTGGCACATGCCTGTAATCCCAGCTACTTGGGAGGCTGAAGCAGGAGAATTGCTTGAATCCGG